TTCTGAAACAAGTCTTTCAACTGGAAATTCCAGTAGAGATAACTTTCAACCAGTAATACAAAGCTAAAAATATTATTTATATTTTAAATTGCGTCGCCAAATATTCAACCCGAACCCGACCCGACCCTGGGGTTGGGGTCGGGTCGGGTTGCAGGTCTCTATATAGGAATACGGGAATAGAGGAATAGTGACCGGCTGTCTGGAATATATTTTGAAATGCTCCCTTAGTGATCGCGGCGTGAGTTACGCGATTTTAGCGCGATCAGACACGAAAGTGGACTTGGATTGTCAATGTTTGACGTGTTAAACAATTTTTTTCCTTGAATATGTTTATCTAGAAACTTTAAAAATAGATTAACATTTTCATAAGATATACAGATACATATTCAATAAGCTGAGACAGCATTTGGTAAAACATACAGTAGTCACTGTTGCTTTTTAAAAAGGCTGACGACTTCTAAGGGCTAATTCTACTCCATGCAATCGTTTTAGTTTTTTATTGTCATGATATTTTTATTTTTGACGAAGTTTATTATTTTCCATTAAATTTTAGCTAACTTATTTCCAGTCCATGTTGTTCGAATTGAATTCTTTCTTTTGACTCCTCATATTTGACATTAATTTTTTTCATTAGCTGACGATATTCTTTCTATTTTTGAGCATTACTCTTTGTCATCTCCAAATAATAACTTAAAAAAAATAATCTTTCATAAAATCGCCTAAATGTTCGCGTAATTTCGCTTAGAAAAAACTTTTTATTCCATGGAATAAAAAGGTTTCGGTTATAATATTATGCATAACATAGCGACATTTGGAGTATACAGTTTATGAATATATCCAACGCTTGATGTATTTTTTCGTTTTTCATTCACAAAATTTATCGCTATTGAAAAAGATATACAGGTGATAACAAAATTAATGAACAACTGCTAACGTTTTTCAATGTAAACGATTTAAGTCTATTTCAAAATTGTTTATATTCGGACATAAAAAAATTAAAACATAAGGCCGAGTGAATCTTTCTAAAAAGAGTTTCGATGATAGAAAATCACCTTGAAGTTTTTGAGTAATTAATTTATGCAAACAATATGTATCACTCCAATCAATTAGATAATTTTTCATATACAAAAAACAATTATAACCGATTTTCTATCAGTGAATATCCATCGAAGAATAGCTAAATCAAGAAACGTTTCATTACGAAAAATCTGAGATAAATATTCTTTTCTACACAGATATTCGTGCAATATGCGCGTTAGTAAAGTTATTCTCTATTTCCCACGTTATTAGAAAGTTCATAACTCTTCTATATCTATAATTTTCTCTCTCTTTTACCAAAGATAATCTGTACTTGTGCAACCGAACTTAGTCTTAATCTTATTTGCACATTTTCATTGCATATGCATATATGTTCTACTATTTCTTGTACTACTTTTATATTTCTTTTTTCATATAAATAATAATTAGAGCCGTTATGCTAACATTACCTATTTGCTACGCTTACATTGATAATTTAGTCGAAAATAAGAAAGAAAGGTAAATGGTTTGAACAACATGAAACATACATTACGAATAAAGAGAAGTTAAAGCATATAGTTATTCATTTAATGTTATATCGAGGAAAACTTTGTCCTTTTACATATAAATTTCTTCCCGAACTTTCTCGAAAATACACTGTACGAAATTACGTATACAATTTATTTTATTTTATGTGTAATTACACATGTTTTTTGGAGAAACCATTCCGCATAATTTCGCGGAAAAAATTACTATACGAGGATAGAAAATGACATATAACGAACGTCAGCAAAACAGAAAGGACAAAGAACAGTCACATTTCTATACGTCAACGTCTAAACCAAGACTAGTCCACATCTGCGACAAAAAACATTTTGTGAAATCCAATCTTATAAAAATCTTACTCATTTGTTATATACGATCCTCCACAAAAGTGAATAGAATTCCACGGAATCTTATAAGAATCTTGCAAGAATTCATGAGAAATTGGTAAGAATCGGCAGAACTCATACGTTATTCTTATCATATTCTTACAAAAGTCTTATCCAGTCTTGTAAGATTCTTGCAGCTTTCTTATGAGAAACTTGCTCAACTCTCTTATAAAAAGATGCTAGTACAGCACTGGAAAAGATCGGCAATGGCAATCCGCACAACATGTCATGTTGCACTGGCACTGGTTAGTATCGGTGTGCACTAATGCCACATTTTTTCCAGCCACCATTTTGGTATCTACGATTGATTGTACTATGTTTTAATCGAATTTTTCTTCGAGAACATAGTGCAATCAAACTTTTGAATGCTTTTGTCGAGCAGGATAATACTTTCATACGAAAATAAGGTGTAAAATATTCGTGATGTTGTAGAGAAAACTAATGAATAGGTTGGAAAATACTGTAGCTTCATTAACCATGCTTGTCGCAAGAGTGCAATTACAGAAAAATATTCTTAAACTCTGTGCTACAAATCCTGATATTTAAAAGGAAAAAATTAATTGTCTCCCGAGAACTACAATCTTTTTAACACAAAAATTAAGATACACTTTTGACACAGCAGTTTTGATACTGCGTGAGTAAAAACGTTCTACACAAAAGTCGATCAAAGACTTACTTAAGAAAAAGAAGTTTGTTTTTAGAAAAATCTCTTTTACTCAAATCAAAAATTGTCGAAATTCTTTTTCTTTAAAGTATTTGAGTAACACATCGATCGATTGATGTAGTTTTCGTTACTTATACAGCGTAAAGAACGATTTTTATTAACTGTACGGAAAGTTTTTCCCGACCCGAAAAGATTCTGTTTTCAGCCTAGTGGGACCTGCAAGAGCAACAATATGTCTAACTTTTTTTATCCGCAACTATACTAAAGAGAGTGGACAATATATTGGTGGAAACCTTGCTGTCAGAAGCTTTTTTCGTTACATATGACCAAAAGAAAAAAGCTTTTCGGAATTATTTTTCTGCCGAGATGTAGCTCGTGCTCTCTTCTATCGAGGACAGAAAGTATATTCAGCTATTATGTTTCTATATGATCTTAAGATTCTCGAAGTCGAAGATCACAAAACCTGGGGCACTCCTCGAAGCAGCTAGGCCTTGGCTTTCCAATAGTGAAAACCGCATATTTTTAGCGCGCTTCTAAAAAACATTATTGAGAAAATAGCCATGCGCACTATATTGTGAAATGGATACTAGTTTGCAGTACTGAGTTTTTGACTTCCTCAGGTTCAAGCACCATTTAACTGTCTGTATGATGAGAAAAAGAAAATATGCATAAAAACTGAATCACACCTCAATAGTTTTGCTGACGTTTTTTTTGATTTTGAAAAACGTTTCTAGGCAGTAACTTTCAGAATCAGCTGGAAAACCAGCACACTTTTGAGGCTATGTGCTTAGATGACATAACACCAGAGAAAACCATTCTTTTGGCAAATACATAAAGAATAAGAAGCTGTAAATATTATAAAGAGACTTGTAGCAATTTCAACGGAGTAATTATTCGAATTAAAAAGTTCGAAGTCCAAGACACATTCTTCTTCCACATGTGGAATTCATCTCGCCGAATCTGGACGGTTGTTTAAAAATACAACGTCGAATGGTCCACATTCAGTACCCAGAGAACTATATCCCATTTTCACAATGTCTCTACGTTACGTACTTCCCTAGATCATACGACTCGCTCTTTGCAAAAACGATGATTAAACAAGAAAACGTGTACCGGATAGTGTTTCGATATGATAGCTCATACTAGATGATCTAGATTAATCTTACATCAGAAGTTTCCATGTATTCCACCAATCATGTCACTTCGCTAATGGGAACTACCTATATAGGATATGTTTCGGTTTTACTGACTATACTATCATTAGCATTTGTGGTATCAAATATGTTTGTTACTGTTTCGATTTTTTTCTTACGATTTCTTAACTTTGATTTTTTTCTTCCATATAAAAAATAAACAATGACCCCAACAGCCATCCATACTCCAAATCGCATTTTGGCCCATTTTGACATTGTATGCATTAATAGAATAGATATTATTCCTCCTAGTATTGGAATAACATACGTTCGACTAGGAAAATTGAATGAATGTTTAACATCTTTATTTTTTGTCCAACGCATTATGAATAGGCCAGCATGGACAAGAAAGTATGAGAATAATGTTCCAATTGACGATATCTCACTTAAAAATTCAATTGGCAATAGACTGGCAAATATAGCAGAAATCACACCTAAAAACATATAGACTTGGATATAAAAGGTTTATACGATTAACTGGTGTTTGACGGACTTTCAAACTGACTTTGTAAACTACATATTATCTTATATTTGTAATATGTTTTGTCAGACTAAGTTTCATCCTAACATTTTCTGTATTTTTTAAATTGTTCTCACTCTCACTACCCTCATGTCACTTGTTCTAATGAAAAGTACAAGATCTCTTTGATTTTGTTGTTCTCAAGAAACGGCATATTGTAACTTGATCGCTCAAACGTCGCTCGTGTGTGAGTTTATACAACAACAGGTCAATAGCAGTCGTGTAAAAATACATCTTAGAAGAAGAGCAAATTGTTAATTTAGAACGTTGGTCAAGCTGTTTTTTACCCGTGAATATTGTTGCTGTATAAGGTGTTCGTCGTGTTTCATAAATGAGCGCGAGAAACTCTGGTAATAATCCATCATTTGCCATTGAATATAATATTTTTGATTCTACCATTATATTAATAAGTGCCACGGATGTTAAACTTGCAATTGCAGCTAAATGAATCGTTATTGCTAACCAGTTCATACCAATTTTTTGTGCTGCCATTAATACTGGACTTACTACGCCTAATTGATCATAAGGAACAACGCCAATTAAAGCAAGACAAAATCCGATATATAAAACAGCTGATATTCCAAATGAACTGAGTATTGCTATTGGTAGATTATTTCGAGAACTTTTTTTTGTGTCTTGAGCTACAGTTGTGATACCGTCAAATCCTGTGTAGGCAAAAAAGGCCAGTGTTGTTGCACGAAACATACCACTAACTCCGAACTTGTTAGATGAACCTTCATTTTTTGGAATAAATGGTTCATAATTCTCTTTTTTAATAAATTTAATCGACGCAAAGATAAATATCAATATGGCAACTACTTTGAAAATAACAATAATATTATTAACAAAAACTGAACCGTTAATATCATAAACTAACAAAAGTGTTAATGCCAATACGATGATGGCTGCCGGTAAATTTAGAGCAAATCCAGTTCTATTAAATGATTCTGTTGTCTGATTCCAACCAATCCACGATTTTAAAATGGATTCTTCAACGTTTACATGGAGTGTGTCGGTAAAAAGTGTCCTTACATAGAGTGCCCAGCCATTGCTTACAAGTGCGACAGCGATTACGTTTTCTAAAATTAAATCCCACCCCAGGAGCCAAGCTGCGAATTCGCCCATTGTTGCATAGGTAAAACTGTACGATGAACCAGCAAGGGGAACCATTGTAGACATTTCAGCAAACGATAATGCTGCTAACAGAGCCACAAAACCAGCAAGCACAAATGAAAGTATCACTGCTGGACCGGCAAAATCTGCTGCAGCATTACCAACTAAAACGAATATACCGGCTCCTAAACAGAAGATAATCATGATATTAACGTACAACTCTTTCAATAAGAATAATTCCTACCTATAATCGCTCCTAGGCCTACTGCAATTAAATCAAATAAATTTAGCGTTCGTTTAAAAACCTCCTTTTCGTTTTCATCATGCATTTGATCAATTGGCATCATTAATGTTAATGGATGAATTACCCTTCCTACCCATGATGTTTTTATTGTGGAAAACCGGTTTTTCGCACAAACCAGTATGGTCCGTAAACCAAACATAAAGATAAGATGAATACTAGAAATCCAGACTTAAAGCGAAAAAGATCCAACTGCTCGGTATCCTCCACTAACCTGACGGATAAATTTTTCTTCTAATTTTATTGTCTTCTCACATGTAGCTCTTATATGTGGAGATGTCGATGACACGAAAAGGAAATGAGCAAAGTAATTGATGAAAATATATTAGACATGCCTGTTCTATCGCTACGGTCCAGTAACTTTTGATTGACCGTGATTGCGTATAGCATACAACACTTAGTATTTGAAATGCACAAGAAATGCAAATTAGTTTCAATTTGTGTATGTCTACAAGTTGACATAAAAATATCTCAGAAAATATCAGTCGGCAGGTGGTGTACCTAGTCTTTGGAAGAAGGTGCCGCCTGAAATACGCGACCGAATGACAGGTTGTTTTAAGGGGGACTGTCCCCACTCGATTTTTCGTATGAATTTATAGAGAACACTTTGAAGTATATATTTCAATACTTTTTGCGGGTACCAGACCTGTAGTTTTGGAGAAAATATTTTTTTAAATTTAGTCCTAGTTTTTTGCTCCATTTTAAAAAGTTTAATAAAATTTTCAGATTTCTATATATAACCTCAGTTTTGATTTCAATCGATAGAGGACATCAGCATGTATCTACAAAAAATTCGGTCAAGCTTTTGGTCAAGCTTTGACTGAGTTATTCCGCTTTGACCGGGAATCTGATTCTGAACAACTTTCGCACCCACACTTTTCCTTGAAAACGCTTCCTTCGGGCGAAATTTGGTTCAAGATGTCGTAAAAATATCTTCATTTAGCTAAAAACTAGAGAAATGTTTTAGTTTTTAATATTTTTGTTAAATTTTCCCAGTTTGTAGAGGACAGTTCGAAGTATATGTTCTGAAGGTTTTTCAGCTTACTGACATTGTTTGGCTGAGAAAAAATTTAATTACTTAAAAAAATGTTGTTACATTTTTGAGCACGGAGCTGTTATAAAAACATCCTAATGAATGAATTGGATTCTAAACTTAGACTAAAATCTAAATGGGAGGACCTCCCTCCCCCGTTCAAGCGGTCAAGTTATGTCTTATGAAACTGCAGTTAACTTGTGGTTTAATGATTTAAAAGTATTCTGCTGTTCGTCCTGTTCTTCACTTTCGTCCGACGAAGTATAATAGTTAAATAAATCATCGTTCTCTATATTGGCATCTAAGTAACTTACAGAAAAAGCATCCAGCATCACTCGATGCATCGAAATATGATCGATGAATCGTCAGATACACAGGTAAGAAGGCGCTGTAAATTTTTGAAGTATCAAAGAATAACTGAGCATATAGTGAACGTCGATGCATCTGGCTTCCTTTGATAGATACACCAGTATCATATAGAACAGTTTACCTTTGACTTTTGGTCATCAAGGAGATCGCACCAATGACTCTGTCTTACGATGAAAACTCTACTCAAAAGATTTAATAAATATAGTAGTTGATGAAAATTCTGCGTCGTTATTCTAGCGACTGCTCATCATTCATCATACAGCGAGAAAATTTTTTGCCGTAGAATAAATAAAGAATTTAAAGAAGAAATTGTTCACTAAAACAGTTGGCAAAGATCTAAAACGTCTGATGTAATAATGTCACGTTCTCTCGAAAAATGCATATTATAAGTAAAATAGGCTGGTATTATTTTATTTCAATAAAATAAAACTAGCACAGTTTATATGTTAGTTTATGGATTAACTTCTAATTGTCCATTGTACAAGCCATCGGCACATTTAATTCTTGCTGCAGCTTCTGACGTTGCTTTTGTACCAATTTCTCGTCCAATAAGATTATTTTTTAAATCCATTTGTTTCTCATGCGCGGGACCTTCACCCAAATCTTCATGGTTATCAGCGACGGTTTTTGCTTGATCAGCACCAATATGCAATGTCATTAGAGCATTCCACAAACAATGGCGATATGCATCACCTACACCGTTATGAATTGTTGCTGGATAGTGATATTCAGCTTCTTGAGCAGCAGTTTGTGCGTCTTTTTTAGCTGTTGAGCAATCAAATGGACCAACCGAGAAAAAACATTTAATACCTTCCAACCATGTTGAACTAGAACAATTACAATCATTTTACTTTTGATATTCACAATAAGCGTTGATTACATATCGTGCAGTAGTAAAATCAGCACCGTACAATTAGCGCTGGCTCAGTTGTCACTTTAACAGCACAGTGGAATGGTCTCTCCAAGTTTCTGTTCATCTAGCACATCTTCAGATCTGACGCGACGTGATCGTAAGAGAATGTATATACACCCCTATATTTTAAAAAGTATTATTTTTCGCTCGACAAAAGAAAAACTTGATGATGGCTAAAATTATTTCGAACTTCATACTATCTCTGCTGACTCTTTAAATGTGCTTCTCCCATAAGGGTTCTCTCATGGGATTCTCCCAGATGTGCCCCCCGTAAGGCAGATAGTCCCACAGTTCGAGAAGTATATCCCGCAAAAAATCCGTCCTCCTGATTGCCCCCTTTTACAAGAATTTTTTCTTGTCATCAAAAGAAAAACTTAGGGGGGAATTCTTAAGGGAAAATCCAAGTTTGAAGAAGCAACCACTGGTTTTTTGTGTTAAACGAGTAATAACCAAAGATTATTGACCTAAAATTCTCTAAGGCCGAAAAGGGTTGAAACAATGATATGTATACTAACAAATTGATAAGATTTGCAAGTTCATTTATTGTATTTTCTCCTTTTAAGTAAGACATACCACTTTCCTAGAATCCTGGCCTTTACTTGGCAACCGCTACGTTAAAGTATCACAAGCTACAGAGATCTTAGATTAATTTTCTAGCGTAATACTAAGGGACACAGACAGAAGCCCCTAATTCATGAAAGTAGACGGACAAGACAAAGGTAGGACTACATGGCATAACTTCAGTGACCCTAGTCTTGCTCTCATTGGACCTCCATATAGTAGTGGCCCTTCGATGAGAGATCAAGTTGAGGTAATTGGACCTCCAAGGATTTAAACATTGGACAGATTTTTATTCTATGAATCACCAGGACACTCTAGTTAAGGAAATGACCAATATCACCCAAGGGCCATTATAAGGTATGTCATATATAAAAATTCTTAGAGTTCGCCACTAAATCAAAAGTGCAAAATAAGGAAAGCATAAATCCACGTCTGCAGATTAGGTTCGGATTAACTGAGAGGGTGGAAGGCTATTTCACGGTCTCAAGCTGTCCTATCTTCGAGAGAACTAAATCAGTGCCTCTCCCCATGCCACAACGCCGAAATTTCACGTATTTTGTATTTATATCTTTGTATTATACGATTTAGTAATTTATCAAACTCTTTAGGGTGTCTCAGTAATACAAGAAAGGATTTCATCTTAGCTATACCCTGATGCGGAGGTTTAATAGCAAAATCTTTATCAGGCCCATGGTTTCAACAATTTTTGAAAGAGAATACAGTGTAAGTCAAAGTCCATCGTCGGACACCCAAAAATATGAAGTTTTTCAAATCTATTCAAGTACTACTCGAAGGTTTTTAGTGAATCGTAAATTAATGTTATAAAAAACGTCATCGAACTTATCATTAAGATCCTAACAAATTCGTATCCAATCCTAAAAACATCTTAGACAACATAATCTTAGTAAGATCTTAGCAAAATCTTATCAAATCTCAAAATTTTCGGGTTTCACGATCTTAGTAAGATTTGTCTAAGATCTTAGACAAATGTAAGCGACATGCTACTAAGATCTTAATAATATTATTCTAAGATCTTACTAAGATTCGACTATTTTCACTAGGGTGTTTTGCGCAATGCAGTAAAAACGAAATCAAAATCGAAACAATAATAATTTTATTCTCTTTAAATATTTGTGAAACACAAGTTCACATTTCGTTCCTTGAGCTCATTCTCTACGTGTATCTTATTAGTCTGAAATAAACAAAGTTCAGAAAACTTAACTAGAAACCTAGGCAAACCAGATAAATCATCTAAAAAGCGAGTCTGGTGTTTTAAAAAAGAATCGTTGAACGACAAATAATATAGGATAATAGTCATAAGTTTTTTTAACAAAACTTAAATTAGATTCAATATAAAGCACTCTGTTGTAATTTACAGTTTCCATTTAGTAGTGGAACATATGCGATCGGTGTTCAGATGTCTGCGCCTAATCATCAAGCAAAAATGAAATGCAGTAAGAGGTACTTTAGAAATCTACACCTTTCTTCAGTGAGTTACGTTTCTTATTGCTTTCTTCACTTTAGAAAAATCATGTACGAATTAATGGTGATACCGACTACTGAACTTGATAAAAATGTACGTATTAAATTTTGCGTTTTGAGATAGTAATAGGAAAAGAAAAATGAATAATAAAAGTATACGATGGACAGGATATACTCATGTGCCTTTAATTTTCTAAATGACGCCGTACAACAGATGATGCGTTTTGTCTTGTCTCTAATAGGGAATAAATAAGTCCTCTTACGTTCCCCTTTTTCTGAAATTTATCCCTATTTAAGTGATTTTAGTTGACATCCCTGCCTTCCATACAAAGTGAGCAGCCATCCAGAAAAATGGGCTAAAATCAATGTTCGAATTTTAGTCCAGGCGAAACTTTTTAATAATACCCAGCCATAATGACGTCTAATAGCAGTCTTTATTTCGGTTTAAAATTCTAGCCTTCCACTAGTATTACTATTCCTGCACTCACATTTTTTTCAAGACATAATACATTTAAATGATGAACGTATATAATTTCAAAGAAACCAAGAACACACGTTGTTATTACTCAGTCACAAGCAGGTCACTTTTAAGTTGCTGACTAAACGCAAGCGAGTTTCTCTATGTCTCTATGGCCTTGCAATTTTGAATTGTTCAACCACCATGTATGCGGTGTATATGGATGAACGATACAATCGCATCACCCACCAAATTTAGTTATTCTTTTTATCACTATCACATGCGGCACAGAATTATTAATGCACAGTTCTTGCCCAACAAATATATAATGGACTACATGCCGTTCGAAGATCTTTCTACTCTTGCATGTAAGATACACGAGAAACACGTGTAATGAGTGAAATATTGAGAAATGAATCAAGATATTCAGTCGAGCTGATGGATCCAAGGATTTTTGACCTCTCTGAATCGATTGATGATGATTTTTGAACCATTTGACCACTATAATATTCAGTGATTCACAAAGAAATCATTTATTTTCAACTTTTAAGCCGATTCTTAGACTATTGATACGATTTTATATAAGTAGAATGTTCCGAACAATGACATTGAAATTTAGAAAATTACGTGCGCTATTTTTCTTTGATTCAAAACCGAATCATAGAATACTAAAAGAAAAACCTAGATGTTTTTCTTTCGAGTCGATTTATTTCAAATTATTTCTTGAAAAATCTAGAACAATCTTGTGGAAGGTTCCAGAAGGATCTAATAGGCGGCTATTGGTATAAATACGCTTGCCACTTCAGTGTATGCTATAAGATTTTTGGTTTAGTGTTTAACTCTCCGTAATGTCTAAGCGCATTGAAACAAAAGTTGATTTGTGTCAGTTGTATTTCGGTTCTGAGAAAGATCTGGCTACAGCAGCTCTTCATTTATTGCAATCATTAAACTTAGAAAGAGGCGAGAAGTCAACTCAAAAAGCGGCAGAACTTTTTCAAATTCATGCCGTGAAACAAAAGTTAAAATTACGAGATTGGCAACAACATTAGCGACTATCTTCTTGGTATAAAGAAGAAGTAGAATAATTTTTTCTTCAATTGTTGACAGATAATTAACATGAATATCTTCCAACAGACGATGATGATAATAAATCAGAATCAACTCAATATTCCACAAGCGCAATATTTTCAGACTTAACATTAGAGAAAAAACGCTATCAGACGAAGAATATCACAAAAAAACTTATACCAGAAATGTATTTCTATGAAAGTTAATGCACGTAATTTTCCAAATTTCAATAGTCATTGTTTGGAACATTCTTCTCATATAAAATCGTATCAATAGTCCAAAAATCAGCTTAAAACTTGAAAATAAATGATTTTTTTGTGAATTATTGAATATAGATAGTCAAAGGATTCCAAAATCATCATCAATCTATCCAGCGACGTCGAAAATTGCTAGAACCACCAGCTCGACTGAATTTTTCGATCCTTACTCAGTATTCCGGATACTATGACATTTCTGTTCACTGTGCCTCACTTTGTTGCGTTCACGTCATTTCTGACACTTTCCTACTCATCAAAGGATAGTTTAAATTTCTTCCCAAGCAGAAAAAAAAATATCGACTATCGGGCGATCTAGCTAGCTAACTCAATATACTACCCAATATAGCTAGCTAGCAATTCGAATCAGGTTATTTACTATTGGACGATACAGCTGGCTAACGCGATACATTACTAGATATACCTAGCTAGCCCAATATATTACTTGATATATCGACGACCGAATTACTCACCTTTCTGTTTTGCAGCCACTGCACTATATATGTGAAACATATACTTCACAAATTTACAAAGTATTTATTCATATCAAGTCAATATATTAAGCAATAATAGACCAATATATTGGGGAATATTGCTTTCTGTAAATATATTACAGATGTCTGTATACAGCCATCCCATGATGCAATGCAGACAACATCTTTCATGCTGTCAATACGTGAGTCAATATATGGGGCAATAATTGTTCAATATATCTAATTTCATAGCTAGTGGCGCAGTGGAATCAGATACTGTCCACAATATATCGAGCGATAATTGAGCAATAAATTGACTAAATAACTACTCTGATCAATGTTTTTCGTCAATCCGATGTATCGGGTACGATATCTAGTCGCTAGCTGTCATACAGGATATAGCCAGCTAACTCAATAAAAGTGGTACGGATAGCTACCCAGGAGAAAAAAGACGGGCAATAAACTGCTCATTAACTGCCAGTTTACAGTCTGCCTAAAAACTGCCAGTTGACAACGTGTTAACTGTCTAAAAACCACCTAGAAACTGTCTAGTTTATTGGCCGTGTTTAGGTCTGCAAAAATACCGTCTAATAACTGCCAGTAAACGGAAAAGCCAAAAAACAGCTAGTTAACTGTGTGGTTAACGGTCCATTGACAGACAGTTAACTGGCTTTTTTTGGTCTTACCGTTTA